GCATTAGCAAGAGCTTTCTTAAGGTAAATTGGCTTTTTGTGTAGCATATCAGGGTGTTTCCTAGTACAGTGACTGCTGGTGCAGCTTAATGGCACCGCCTTGATGTGTGCTAAGGCAACAGTAACATACCCCACTTTTTGTTTTGTACCATCACTGTGAATAGCAAACCGAGAAAAGGGCAGATATCTCTGTATTATGGTAAAAAATGATTTTCCCCTCTAGCAGGTTCCCTAAAAGGTCATTAAAATTTCCAGGGTTCTGTAGACCTCACTTTGAGAACCTCTTTATCCAGTTCACCACTACTCTGTACCAGCTCAGCTTTCTCAGAACTCAGCATCCTTAAACTTTCTCTTTTCCATTTGATCACTTTTTTCCTTCTTTCACTCTCATGCCCTTTGGTCTATAAAATAATAATTCCTTGTCCAGCTACCCTTCAAGCTGCCATCCGTTGTCCCTTCACTTGTTTAACATAGTTTGCAGTTTCTCCTCTGCTTGTGTTGTGAATCACGCTTCAACCCTTTAAAATTTGACTGCTTTTCCTGGCATTCTAAGTTTCCCTTTTTTAGTATCCCCAGTGGTGACATGCTTATTAATCCAGGGTTTTCATTTATGTTTTTATTCCACTCAGCATTTGAGACAGATGACTGCCTGCTTTTCCTTTCTGGGGCCTCACACTGTTTTTCTCTTAGCTTTCAAGTCTTTGTCAGTCTTCTTGCTGACTCAGCATCTGCTTGTTTCTTTTTTCTTTCTTTCTTTTTTTTTTTTAATGTTAACCAGCTTCATTATTTTTGTTCTGTATGTTCCCATTCACTTTAGCTGCCATGTTTAGGGTGATTGAAGTTGCTATCTTTAATCTTCACCCCTGCCCTGAGCTCCAGACCCATACCCCCCCACCCCCACCCCCATCACATTTTAGGGACTGAATTTAGAAACAAATGTTTCCATTATCAGGCTTCCCAGATGGCTCAGTGGAAAAGAATCCACCTGCCAATGCAACAGACACAGGAGACATGGGTTTGATCCCTGGGTTGGGAAGATCCCCTGGAGAAGGAAATGGCAACCCACTCCAGTATTCTTGCCTGAAGAACCCCTTGGACAGAGGAGTCCATGGGCTCACAAAGAGTTGGGTGTGAATGAGCTCACCCCCATTATCTTTCCTCCCAAAATTTCAGCAAGTATTCATTGAGTATTAACTGTATTAATAATAACACACTAGGAAAACAGTGGTCTGTAAGAGAGGCAGGATACTTGCAAGGCAAGACATAATAAACAAATGAACAATAATGTAATTACAGATGATGATAAGTCCTATTTGGGCTGGGGAATGGTAGGAAGGATCTACTTAGCTAGGTTTGTCAGGGAACAGCTCTCTGAGGAGTTAATACCTCAGCTGAGTCTTTTCGGATGAGAAGGATTCAGCTATGAGAAGGGTAAAGACCTTTTCATGCAGAGAAAACAGCAGACACCAAGGCCCCAGGTAAAGACCTTGAGATGTTCCGAGGACTAAGACCACTGTATATGATGAAGGTAAGAGTGAACTGAGGGAAGGTGGGATTGATAGATCATATAGGGTCTTTTTTAGGCAATGAAAAAGGAGTTTGAATTTTATTTTAATTGCAGTAAGAAACCATTTGAATATTTTAAGCAGTCTGTGAGAAAAACTGATTTCCATTTCTAGATGATTTCTCTGGTAAATTTATGGTGAATAGGTAAGGGGTGAGTTGGGAGTTGGGACGTGGGTGAAATGGGGCAGGGGGATCCTGATTGGAAATTCCTAATGGTGTTCTAGATGAAAGATGATGGTGGTTAGAACCTGAAGGTGAACCAGAAATGGAGTGGAAATGGGCAGATACAAGATGTGTTTTGGGCCCTTGAACCAAGAGGATCTTATAAGGTGAAGCCTTAAAGAAAAGTGGGAGTTTTTTGGAGAAAGTGTTTCAAGTGGAGGGAACATGTTCAAAGCATGAGAAACCAGAGAGATAATGGATATTTGAGGGTCTGGAAGAAGGTCTGCATACCTGGAGGCTAAAGAAGGAAAGTATCAAAAGATGAGATAGGAGATACAGGCAGAAGCCCGGCCATACAAGACCATGTTAAGGAATTTAGATTCTGTCAGTGACTGGAGTTCCAGTCAAGGCTGTATTTGGAGATTACCTGATTATATAATCACTAACCCATAGTGGAAACCTTGGGAGTAGATGAGTTACACTGGGAGAACATGTAGAATGAAAAGAACAAAGACTCTAAAAGCCAAGACCTGAAGAACATTAGCATTTAGTCGCTGATAAACATTGATACAGCGGAGAAACAACAAAGGGAAACTTGGAACAGGAGGGACCACTAAAGCAAGGGCCAGAAGGTTTTCACAAGTCACTGGTGAGCATTTCAGATGATTCTCTGAGAGGTCATTGTTGAATTTGGTGAGAATGAGTTTGGTGCAGTCACAGATTGAAAACCAGATTATTGTGGGTTGAGTTAATTGGGAGATAAGGAAATTGAGACAGTGCATACAGACAATTAGGTATACTTTGAGCGAGTGGTGTTTGGAGTCTTGGATGGAAATTTTTTTTTTAATGGTCAAATGATTTTTTAAATTAAGACTTTTCCTTTTAGAACAGTGTTATTTAGGTTCACAGCAAAATTGTGGGCAGATACAGAGATTTCCCCCCATACCTCGTGCTCCCACAATGTGCACAGCCTCCTCCAATGTCAGTATTTCGCACCAGAGTGTTTGTTACAATTTTGACCCTACATTGACTCATCATTATCACACAAAGTCCACAGTTTTTATTCTTGGTTCTGTACATCCTATGGGTTGTGACAGAAATATAATGGGATGTATCCATTGTTATGATATCATAGAGTATTTTCACTGCCCTAAAAATCCTCTGTGCTCTATGTGTTCACCCCATCCCCCACTCCCCTCCCTTTGGCAGCCTCTGATCTTTTTACTGTCTGCATAGTTTTGCCTTCTCCAGAATGTCGTATAGTTGGAATCATATGGTATATAACTGTTTCCTCCTGGTTTTTTCACAGCTTGCAAGCCATTATTTTTTTAAACACCAAATATTTCATTTTCTGTATGTAGTATTTATCCGTTCCCCTGCTGAAGAGTATCTTGTCTGCTTCCAAGTTGTGGCAGTTATGAAAGGCGCAGTAAACAATGTGTGTAGGTTTTTGTGGGGGTGGGGCATAAATTTTCAACTCCTTTGGGTAAACAAGGACCTTCTGGTAGAATCTTAAGGAGAATTTTTGTTTTTAAGTAGGAGGTGCATGTTTAAATCGTATTTGAAAGAGATTGAAAGGTAAAGAGAGAGGAGGTGGACTGGAGTGGGGTCCTCCATACTGTTTTAACTCACTTGCTACCTAGTGTCTCAAGGTAGAAACAGAGATCTAATTTCTTATGTACCCAGCCTTTGCTGCACTTGCATATATTCATCAAATCTTAATTTTTACCTTAGAAATACTGTTCGTATATAGTGTTTTCTCTCACGTTAGTGTTGTTTTTATTAGTCTGGCACTGTCTCTATAGGTCTGTTGAAATGGTCTCCTCCCCATTCTGGTCCTTTAAAGGCAAAAGCAAAATACCAGTATGGTTGTGTTACTACTTTAATTAGTACTTGTCATGATGTGGCCCTTCCCAGTATGAATGTCCTGTCATCTCTCCTTTCTCACCATCCTCCCCCATACAGCCCTTCAGCTGCGTGACATTTCCCTCTGATCCATGAACTTGTCCTGTTCTTACCACACCTTTTTCCTTTACTAAAGATGTTTTGTTTACCTGAAAGTCATTCTCCCACCCTTGCCTCTCTGGTAAAGTTCCATTCAAGGTCAGCCTTCAAGTCACCTGTTACGACTTGATTTAGGCAAAGTCATTCCTTTTAGTTTCCTCAACACAGTCTTCATACTGCTGTTGAAACATTCATTTATCCCTTTATTTAGTGATTTGTTCGTATGTCTGTCTTCATCTGGACTCTTGGCTTCTCCAGATGAGGGACTTTGTCATGCATGTCATTTGTATATCCTGGATGTTTGGTGTAGTGTCTTGAGGGTCATGAAATATTTGTTGGATAAATGACTGAAATATAACCATTAGGTATGTTGGAGTGGGAAATGATTGTTTTAAAGCTAAGTACCCTGAGGCCTAGGGAGGTGAAGTGGTTTCCTCAAGGTTGTACAGATAGTTACTCGCCTCCTGACTTTCGGCCGCAGCGTCTCCACAGTGCGCCGTGTTCTCTACGGGAGCTTGTCCTGGCTGCCCTCAGCCAGTGCCGCTTGGTGATGCCTAAATGAAGATGGAGCCAAGATGAGCACATTCGGTGTGTATGTGCTGTGCCTCGTTGCTCAGTCGTGTCCGACTCGTTGCGACCCCTTGGACTGTATTAGCCTGCCAGGCTCCTCTGTCCATGGCGATTCTCCAGGCAAGAATACTAGAGTGGGTTGCCAGGGGATCTTCCCAACCCAGAGATCAAACTGAGGTCTGCCACTTTGCGGGCAGATTCTTTACCGTCTGAGGCACCAGGGAAGCCGTCAGTGTGTATAATGCTCTTTAATTTTGAGCTTATAGAATGTGACTCAAAGATGAAACTAAAAAAGATACTCTCTGTGAAGAGTCCTAAAATTTCTGTTTAAATTCAGTAGGTAAACTGTCTAGTCTTTCTTCCAGTATATTAAATTACTTAAAAATCAGATTTAGTGTCCTTTTACTGAAGTCTACACTGTGTCTCTTTAGTCCTCTTAATAGGGGACCCTGAGTGCAAAATTGTGTTTGTGTGTGTGGGTGTGTGTGCACGTGCACTTGGCAGCGAGCCTCGGTTCCATATCTTTTTTCAAAGGGTTCCTTTATCCCCCCAAAAGCTAAGAACTACAGCAATGGGCTGACTTAGAGATAATTTGCTGCTGTGATAAGTGATTCTCTCTCAAAGCAAAGTACATTAAAAGCTCTTTTAGCTACTGTTTGAATGACATGTTTAATCTCTGCCGCTTGCTTTCATTTTTAGGGTTTGTGTTTAGTGACTCAGAGGGATCTGCATTAGAACAGTTTGAAGGTGGCCCCTGTGCTGTTATCGCGCCTGTTCAGGTAACATGGACTACTTGACCAGCTCCTCAGAGGGGCCTGTTCAGACGGTCCCTCCTTGGTTTGTGTTTTCTAGTACCTCTACTCCGTGTGATCCTGAGGCATGATCAGTGACCTTTTAACTTGGGTTCATGGAAATTGCTTTAAATGTCTGAAATAAAAATGAATTCAGAATATGAGTAGGTTACACAGCAGTAGCCATTTGGCTGACTTTAACTCCAAATTTTCTATTACGTTTTCTTGAAAATAATAGCCATAACATCTTACACAGTGATCCTATTGAGTAATAATAATTTATGCCAAAGGTAGTTATACCATAATCATGGTGCCATTTGTATTTGTTTTGTCTCTTAAAATGATTCTTCAAAAAAGGTGAAAATGAGTTAATATTTTCATGGCCTAAAACTTTATCAGATTTTAAAGTAAGTTGCCAATATATACTGTTTTAGGCGCTAGCTTTTTGGTCTTTAAAATCAGTAAAAGCAGATTTCAAACAATTCCCAAAATTTAAAAAAAAATGTTTTTTTTCTTTGCACATGAGACAGGGTGTGTGTATTTGATTTTGAATCTTTATCTGTTGCATTGTTTGAAATTCAAAGGCTGATTTGCCATGAACTATTACATTATTAAAATGGAGAATTGAATTTTCAGTTTGCTGTGATATTTACGATGTCTAAACAACAGTATAACTTCAGAACTGTTACAAAAGAAACTTGAATTTATTGCTTGTTTTAATCAGCACACTTTGAAAATAGATTTTTAATATGGTATTTGTTATTCATTGGGCATAAAAAATGCTTTCCTGAACTGTTGGTTGCAAAATAAATTTCTCTCTCAAACTCCATACACTTACATTGTTAAATTTAAAGTGCATTTTCTGAAGAAATGTTTTCCTTTATGGTTGATTCTAAAATATATTCTTTGTAGGTCATTGTTTCCTCTTTAAAAAGTAAAGTTGATACATTTTTTTCATTAGTAGATTTTTTTTTTAATTAAAAATTTGAATGAGCTTTGCCTAGGGATTTTGGAGTATAAATAAATTTATCTATAAATTAGTTATTAGAGCTGTTGAGCAACTGAGATAGGTTTTGATTTGCTAGTAGGAATCTTATCTGAATCTGAGGATTCCGTGTCTTGTTCATATACAAGATAGATTTTATTACCACTGACACTCTTGGGCCATAATAGTACCTTAGAGTCTTTATTGCCAGTCTGTGAATATACTTAAATGCAAGATAAACAGGATTTCATGTTTTATAAAATTCAGTATATTTCCAAAATAGTAGTTATTTTTGCAAGTGGAGTTGCTATGTAACAGAAAATAATTGTAATATTCAAAATAAAGATATATCTTTGAAGTAGTAATTTAGCTTCATAGTCACATAAATGTTTTCGATTATAGAATTTTGTTTGTATTAATATTTCCATGTAAAAATCAAAACTAAGTTACTGAGAGTAATGAAGGGAAGTGTGCAAGTTGGATGTTGAACTTTTTAAAACTGAACTCTAGAACATGGCACTTTTGCTAGAAGAGTAGACATTATGGAACCAAGTAGAAAATAGAGTAGTAGACCATGTTACATAAAATAGTACACCTGGAATTAATCACATACCATAAAAAGAAGGAATGCAAATCAATGATGAAATACAGTGTAGTTTAGTAAATGCTACCAATATGCCAGGTTGATAATTTGAGGGGGGAAACTGAATCTGGGTCGTCTCATACCATGTACCAAGTTTATTCCTGATATAACACTTAACCACAGGAAGTTGAAAATAATGTGTTACCAACCCTCTAAGAGAATAGGTGAGTTCCAGGCTCAGAAAAATATCTGCAAGTGATGTTAGCAGTAAATGAATATCTTTCTTAGACAAAGAAGGTGTACACATGGTTAGAAAAACACTGAAACCTCAGAGGTGAGATGGGCAAGTATATGCAGTCATGGCAGGTGGAATGATGCTGCACAACCAAAAACTCAAGATGCCCAAGCTCACTAGGAACCCACCAAAGTACAAATAAAACTTTTAAACAGATTCTTGTGCTTACTCTTCCTTATCTTTAGATATAAAATAATTGCCAGTGCATATAAGGGTAGGGTGATGCTGGCACACTCTGTGTAGCTACAGATAACTCTATGTGGTATAAATTTGTACTGTGACCTAGGGAAGGAATTTTACATTATAATTGAAACCATGATAAAATAATGCAGATTCTTTGGTGTGAATAATTTTACTTCTGTGAATCTTTCCTGAAGAAATAATCCTTAAGATGGAAAGGTGTGTTCAAGAATTAGCTTTTTTAGAGCAAGTCCAAATATGTTTTTTATTTATAGTAGTTTTTAAAAATTGCAAATAACCTAATGCACAGTAACGTCATGTAAGCGTGGAATAATGTTGGAAGTAAATTTTAATAGCTTGGTAGACATTTAGAGATTGACTTATGTGGGAAAACTGAAGAGTGGAGACAATCACATACCAATTAGGCTTCTCATTTAAAATTTAAAACAGGTATGAAAGAAAGACTGGAAGGAAGTATATCAAAATGCAAATGGTGGTTCTGTTAGAGGTGAAATAATGGTTGTCCCACCTCACTTTTCCAGTTTTGTAATGTAGTTATGTTACTCAATTTTATGGTTTTTGTTATTTGGGGAAAAGTCAGAAGTACTTGGTTGTAGTATTTGTAGATTTTATTTCAGTGAGAATATCATAGAATGTTACTTATTTTTTTGTTAAAATGTTTAAAATTGATAGCTTATTAGGTGCTGGTATTGTGCTAAGTGTATTACTAGATCATCTCATGTAATCCTCATTACAACCTTTTAAAGTTTGTTTTTAATTAGTAAAATAATTTTTACTATTATTTTTAATTAGTAAAATAATGGAACCAGGATTCAACTTTAGGTCTATTAACTAAAAGTAGTTTTCTTATCTGTATACTACTGTTTTCAGACACTGATGAATAAGAATCACCATAGTAACTACTTTTTCTTGAATCTGCCCCCTGGAGATAAAGTAGGTGGAGCATCAGGATCTGCCTCTTAAATAAACAAGTCAGGTTAACTACACTTTGAGAAGGAAACAGTATTATACACAGAACTGCTATATCAAATCACCAACGTAACATAGTTGGTACACTTAAGAAAAGGTTAAAAATGGGTTTATTTTTTCTTTGGGATCTTAAAGCTTTTTGAGTTAAATCAGAAAGTTAGGAGCTCCTTATCAGTGACCCACACAGTGGTATTCTTGTGTCACAAATGAGAACTAGTACAGAACCACTTTTGTATTTAGCTTTCTTTCCCTAAGGAATCAAAGAGAAACGTAGATTTTTTTTCCTGATCGATAGGGCCTTCACTCTGTGAATGAAGCAGTAAATTTCTTTTTCAGTTATGTGTTTATTATTTTGAGTCAGTTCTTCTATTTGGCAGAAAATGTGTACTATAAAAGAATTATATGGATCTAGAATCAAGTTTATAGCAGTATAGTCTAAGTAATTATGTTCAGTTACTGGTGAATGTGAAGGGAAACAATTTGAAATTCTATAGCACTATTCAAAAGATCAGAAAGGAGGTGCAAATTAGGTGGGTTTTTTTTTTCATTTTAAAATAAAAGAATGATATAAGGTATGTTTATAATAAATTCTAATAATTATTGCTTTGATTGTATAAAGGCATTTCTTTTGAAGAAGCTCCTGTTTTCTTCTGAGAAGTCTTCTTGGAGGGATTGCCCAGGTATGATAGCTGTCTTTTATCAACTTTTACTCCATCTTTTATTTTATAAGTGATTCATGCAGCATTCATTGGCAGTAATTCAGTTGAAATTATCTGTTTTTAAAAAGTAAACTATCAGTTACTTTTTCGTGAGGTTGACTTTAAATATTCCCGGAATTTTCATGAACAGTGACTCTAGATCTTACAAATGTGTATTTTGTAATGTGCTTTTCCTAACTGAGAGGGGAAAGACAGGTTTTTACAACTAAGGGAAAAATCTGGTGCATTGTTAAATGATAGCATACCATAAGGAAGAATCATTTATGTTTGTATTGTCTTATTTAGCTTTGAGCCAAAACTCAAGATTATCTTTGTATTACTGAATCTTTTAGTATAACACCTTATGCAATGCTAATACTACTACAGGTAATTCTGAGTTAAATCGCAAATGACGCTTTCATGGCTTCCGCAATATGATTAAATCAGAGAACTGTGTGTGCTCCCTGATAATAACAAACATTTGCATCCTTGACAGTTTACAGAGGTATTTTCTTCACTTACACTATTTATGTGAACTCACAGTGACTACTGAAAGAAGGCAGAATATATTATAATCGCAGTTTTGTATGTAAGGGCAAAACAGCTTCCATTCCAAACCATGCAGTTACATTCTACTAGTGGTTTTTAATTTAAGAGAGAAAGTGTCACTGTCATATATTTTTAATTAATAACTGAAATGCAAAATAAATTTCAGTAGAGAAGAAAGAAACTATTCAAAAGAGACTGTTACTAGCATGAACAGTTTATTAATAAAATTTTTAAAATTTCTTGCACAGAAACATTCATATTGATAAGAAATTTTTGTAGCATTTGTCATAAGTGTTGTAAATGCTGTGGTGGCTAGAAAGTGAATAGGACAGTTGCAGCCTTTAAAGAACCCTTAGTCTATCTAGGGAGAGAGAAACCTCCCTCTAGCATAAAATTATACATGGGGTATATATCCATCTTATCACCTTTGTTTGAAAGCTTCAGAAAGTGGTACTACTTCTGGAGTTGAACACTGCTTGAAAAGGGAAGGGTGGCTAAGGTTCAGGACAAAGTGAAGCATTTGTGCTATTTTTTATAAATGTCTGATGCTCAGATCACCGCAGTACAGTATCAGTGGTTTGTGTACCATGCAGCATAACTGCAACGGCCTCTGCTAATGTAATGGCTTGTGTCATTGTATGTGCCGATGGTATATTATTTCATTATCCTTCCCCCTGTGGGACTGGGAGATCAAAGACATGAGACTAATTCAGAAATGGGGAAAAACAGAGGTCTCCACAGGCCCTTACAAGACCTGGTTCTACAAGAAGGGAATCCTCATGGCTGAAAGGCTCCGATTGCAGCCTAAGAAAGGGGTGATCAGTATCAGCTTACTCCACAGAGCATATTCTTTGCTCTGATGTTTAATTCCGCATTTTCCAGGATTCTTTTTCTCCTGAATGGAAACATTCAATAGCAGTGACATTTTAACCCTCAAGCACATTGTTTTTCTAAACTGTAATTGAAGATCAGTGGCTTCTGGATTTCTGCCCCACTAAAAATGCTTGATTTTCATCACTAAATTAACACATTCTTACATTGTTATTTGACAGGAGTTTTTTGTCCCCCGCAGAGAAAATCACTGTAACTTATGCTTCGGTTATTTTTAGAGGAAGAGCGGAAGGAGCTCCTTTGTCATACCTTGTGTGATATTTTAGAAAGTGCTGGTTGTGACAACTCGGGATCCTACTGCTTGGTTTCATGGTTAAGAGGAAAAACAACTGAGGAAACCGCTAGTCTTTCTGGGAGCCCTGCACAGTCTAGTTGCCAAGTGGAACATTCTTGTAAGACACACTTTTATTTCCTGAAGTAATTTGTCTGTGTGTTTGAATAGAACTATTGAAAATTTTAAAGAGAGAACAAGATTTAAACATTGTATAAGATCTGTTTTTTAGCCTAAGCTTACTTAATCCTGGAGCTTTGTTAGTATTTTTCATTTCTCACTTGATTTTAATTGCTGGAGGATATTGCATTTGTTTATTTTTTCTTTGATTTTTTGGGAAAAAGCATAGGAAATGCATCTCTTAAAGTAAACTTAGTAAAAGTTCTGGTTAACTTCTGCTTGATGACAGTATCTTTTGAGCTTCAGAACTCTCATTTAGAAAGCTGAAACAACATATTTCTGTTTTCTTTGCTTCGAATACTTTAGTGTTTTCCTTGGTATTGGGAAAAACAGGGAAATTATTATTATTACTGTTTTTTACATTAGGAAATGTCTTAATTATCTTTAGCTGTTTCCTAAAGCAAAAATGGGGACATTTTTCTTCCCTGTGTTGTTTCTTTTCCTCCTGAACTTTTTGGGCTTGGTTACTGTAGATGAATTATTTTGAGATAGTTTTTTTATTATGAGTTTTACTTTTGCGTTCATTTAAGTTTTTCATACCTTGAAGATTTCTCTTAGAGAAAAATAACAGCTCTTCTCACTCACAAGAATTATATATTCTATGGTCTTTAGTTTTTAAAAATTCTTACATAGTTGACCTACAAACTGCCAGAATGAACTAGTAAGATTGTACTACGGGTATAGAGTTGCTTTTCTGGTTTTCTTTTTAGAAATTAACTTGCTTGTAGGTTGCTTTTGGTAATTGATAGTTCTAAGTGCCTTTATTAAATAAGTGACTTGTTCTACTTATAGTGCAATCCATTAACTATCGACTCTGTGGAAACTGTAGATACCCAATTTCTAAAAAGTAAATTTCAGTTGCTATGGTACACATCTTGCTCTCCCTATAGGATTGTGTATGAGGCAAGTTGTCTCCTTGAGCCAACATGTCTATGATGTCAGCATCTTCTCTCTCACCTTTGCAGTTACAATGGCAGATTCTACTAATAGTATATTTGCAAGGAATAATTTTTAAAATTTGAACAGTTGAATGACATTTCCTTTTAGGCCTTTCAAACATAGCATTTCAAAAACAATTTAATATATTTTTAGAGTTGAAGAAAACAAGTGGAAAATGCTCACAAGTTTGATAATCAGAAAATGTCATTAAGGCTGGTTTTAAAATATTTTCCAGATTTTACTGGATCGCATAAAAGCATGTTTAATAGTTTTGTTTAGGATATTAAAATCTTAATAGGAATAGTTGAAGTAGCTAGAAGTTGTTTTAGAGAATATGTGGTTAAAACTACTCCATGTATTAATTTTATAAGAAAATAGTTTTTTGCTAACATTTTTCATTAGTATTTTGTGCTCACTGGATGTACTGTACATTTCTGTGTTGATTGGTTAAATTGTTCTAGGTTGAATGGCCTCATGATGTTAACTTTGGCATTTCATAACCTATGTGGGCCTGTTATATTGATTCCCCCTCCAAAAGACATTTTTTAGTAATTTTCCAATCTACTTTGTCTCATTTTTAAAATAGACATGAAATGAAACTTATAAATTGATTTTTGATGTTATATAAATTTGAGAAGTTTTAGTAATTGAAAGTTTGAAAATTCACATTAGATGTTGACAATGAAATGAACTTATATTAAAATTTATTCCATATAACAATCTGTTTTACCTGTTCTTTCCTTTATTCCCAGCTATGTTCTTTTTCTTGTGTTTTATAGTTTTCTACCATCCTGCCTGCTAAGCTTTTTATTTTGCTTGCCTCTTTTCTCTAAATTACTATCTTTATGTCAACTTTCATAGTGTACACTCAGTAAAATTATTGAGATAATCAGGCACCACAGAGAAGTTAGTACAGTTTGGAAAATTTTAGGTAGAAGTTTTATTTTATCTTGAAATTTTAAATGTGAAGTGTTTTTCCCCTTGTCAATATTACATTGTGTACAAACATTAATTTCATTGGCTTTTGTGGTGTGTAGTTTTGGCTTTTGGTAATGCACACTTGTTTGCAATAGTGAATACTCAGGTTCAATTTCAGTTTGTTTCCCACACACAAATCAAAAGATTATTTAAATGAATCCATTTGGGCTTTTACAGATGTTAAAAAGTTATTCAAAACATTTGAAAATTAAATCTGGACTTTGAAAGGCTAAAATAATGTGACATTTTTTATTGTAAATCAAAATTTCACTTTTGAATACATAGTGAAACAATTTCTTCAGTTCTCTAGTGAGTATTAGTATTTGAAAATACTAACATTTATTTAATAAGGTATATATGAAATTGTTCCTGTGATTAATTAACATGAACATTTTGATCTGTATAGGATTTCTTTAAAGACTTCATCTTTGTGGAGCTGAGACTATCTGGGTTCAGATCTCAGTTCTGCTGTTTATAGCTTTGTGCTCTTGGGAGGATTCTCCTTTGGGCCTCAGATTCCTCTTCTATAAAATGGGATAATAGGGTTGTTTGAGGATTAAATGAGGTTAAGGCCCATAGAGCATTTAAAAAGGGGCCTGGAACTTAGAACTGTGCTAAGTAAGCCTTACTTTTCATTTAAATGCTTTATTTGATTTCCTTTGATTTCTTAAAATTTTATAATTTTATTAATAAATATAATCTAAATAAGATGCTGAAAACTTGTTAACAGTTATATGAGTAAATGAGGAAACAAACCTAAAGCTGTCGTTGAACCTGTGTATTTTCAAAGTGCTCTGCCTTTTTATACACATTTGTTTAATAATGAAACATCAAGTCTAAAATAAAGGTTTTATATTAGAGGAAGATTAGCTGTGAAGATTTGACTTGGCTCTAAGAAATGAAAGATGATTTAGAAGTGCAGGACACATTGCAATTATGTGTGAAGCACTATGATTGTCAATGCTTTCTCACATGTTATTAACTATTCTAGCACAACTGAATTTAAAGAAAATGTTTATTATTTAATCACCTTTCTACATTCTCAGTATTAAATCCATTTTAGTTCTATTCATGATACCTAAGATCTTGAAATATAAATTTATGTTATAGTAAAGTGGAAAATAAACTGAGAATTCTAAGGAGTCAGGAAAGAGGGAAACTTTTGATTGCTTAAAAGTATTTACAGCCTGCTGTGTGTATCTTGTGTCATTTATTTGCCATGTGTAGTGCTGAAAAGTGTCTTTTATGTATAGCTGCCTTGGCTGTCGAAGAGCTTGGCTTTGAGCGATTTCATGCATTAATTCAGTAAGTAACATTGGAACATTTAAAATACTTACCTTGTGGACACATTGCCATTTTAAGTCTGTTCATACTGTGGAAAGGTACTTAGATTTGTATGCTTGAGGATTAATTTGTTTTCAGATTTTTTTAAGAAAGAATAATTTGTCAATATGTTCTTAAAATATTCTGATTCCCAAATTAACTATGGAAATACACCCTTTTATAACATTAAAGGCTTTTTCATCAATATAATGAAAAAATCATTTTAGCTTAATGTTTCTCCAAGTGAATATAAAGATTTCTAGTATGACAAATATTTGTGTTATTGCTTATTGTCAAAATACGTTCTCTATAATTTTCATTTAAAGTGCCATGTTTTCATTAGAGTATGTAAATTTTTTGTTGTGAAATAAAAGGTAAGGATAGCTATGTTGGTAGAAATGCGAGTGGCATTTGATTTGAAATATAATGTTATTTTAAAAGAAGCCACAAATGTACACCTTATTCTTGGTGTTTAGATATTTTCAAGCTTTCAAAAGTCAAGTTTCTTTGTTCCTAACAATGTCCTAGAAGAGGACCACCTAATTCCTTAAATAACTGTATGATCATTAAAGAAGTCATTGATGTCAGACAGTTCACCTAAGAGATGACGAGGTTCCCTACCACATAGGCTTTCTATTTTAATGATACCTATTACATATAATGACAGCTGTCAGCAATAGCTTTGGCTGTTAATGGCTAAATTTATATTTGAAAATTTGAGACACAAAAATCTCCTCTTTGTATGCATTTTAATGTAGAAGACAATTAAAAAATGTTCCCATTTATGAATGTGGTCAGTCTCAACATCATGTTAATACTTAATTCTTTTTTCCCCCCAGAAAAAGATCATTCAGAAGTTTAGCAGAATTAAGAGATGCTGTCTTGGACCAGTATTCAATGTGGGGAAACAAATTTGGAGTATTGCTTTTTCTGTATTCTGTGTTACTGACAAAGGTTGGTTAAAGAAGATGTTTTTCTGATTTTTATTCATTTGAGTTTAATATTTTTCCTGCTGCAGAGAGAAATTTTACTCCTGTTGTTGTTTCTAAATCTCAGAATTGAAATCTCTTGTGACAGTAATGAAGAGTCAGTCTCTCTTTCTTCATTCACCTGTTACTTAACCACTTTTCAAGCTTCACCCATGATCTTCTAGACTGCAGAGATTTATCAGTAGTGTTCTAATTATGAAGTACAGTGAGGTCTTTTTTATTTTATTTTCTTTGATCATAGTAAGCACTTGATCCCTTAACCCCTTCTGGAACAGCTGTATCTAACACCAGTCCCTTCTTAGCTTACCTGATAAATCACTATACTAGTTCTCTTTCTGTAATGCCTCATAATTTTCTGCTTATAGCTTCACTGCCATCTTTTTCTGTTATTTACCTTTGTATTCTCTAGCTTACCTTTACGTGCTTCATTCTGATCTGTACACTTCTGGTCCTGCCCTTTTCTGTGAGTGCCAGCCTCACATCTTCAGCAACCTGTTTGGTCTGAGTTATTCTGCTGGATTTGCCATATTTGGAATCAGACTTCATTCACTTGATAAATGTTTATTGAGCATTGACTGTTTATTAGGAACTAAACTTACAGTGTGAAGTACAATTTTTGTTTAATCATTCCTCTTCAATGTTGTAAACAAAAAAGTAGACACCTTAACAGTTACTTCCATTGTGGCAGTGTTTTTGGTGTTTATTTGTTTTATGCACAAAGCGTGGTGGAACAATAGAAGGCTTGCCTCAGTTCATATGGTGGAATCAAGGGCAGACCCTGTAGGTGTCATGTGATGGATGGGGAGAAGTTTTCTGGACAGAATAACTTATGGGAAGAAATTCTAAGCTGTGGGAACAGCAGGTATAAAGACATTATCGGTTGGGGATATATCACACATTTGGAAACTATATAAGAGTTCAGTATTAGTGTAGCATAATCTACCAAAAGGGCAACTGTGGAAGATGAGAGTGGCATATATGTAAGCATTCTTGTGCAAAAATACTTAAAATCTCATCTCATGTGGCCAAAATTGGAACAAATCAAAAATTGTGAGCAATGGCGTAACAAGATCTTTCTGTTGCTAAAAGGTTCTTTAAATTGGTATTAGAGTTGTGCTGGAGGGAGTTGGTATGTGGATAATAAGACTAGAGTCAGGGAAACTGGAAAAGTAGTTACTGAAATAGGTGACCCTAAGCCAGAGCAGTGATCATGGAAATGGAAAAGAAAAGGAGCATATTTTTTAGAAGCGTGTTTTAAACTTAGAAATTTTAAACCATTTAGGAGCATATTTAAGAGAAAGAATGAAAAGTAGTTAGTAGTCAATTAGCAATGGGGACTGTCAGTGATGGAGGTCCCGAGGATGCCTGGTTTCTTAATGAGTTCATCATGACTGTTCAGTACTCTCCCAGTTTTTATGCTCAAAACTTTTGATACCTCCTCTCTGTCTTGTCCTTCACAGCCAAGAAAACTGTCATGTCTAGTTCTTCCTTGCCCTGGTCTTTGAAATCAGGTCCCCTCTCTCCCTAGTGATTTTTGGCACTTGATTATGTTATTCATTGTGACTTTATGATACTCCATTTTGTGTTAGTTGTTTTCAAGGAAGGCCAGCGTGAGATCTTAAACTTGTTTGTGTCCTTCTACAGTATTTCCACAATCAATACTATTTTGATTGTTGATTATCATCTCTTTAATTTTTAGAAATGGCCTATAATCAAATGGAATCAGTGGTTAAAGTTAGGTGAATAGCACAATGAATGGCAGTTTATCTTTGTCATTTTGAAATTGCTAGAGATAAAATGCCTAGGCCTTCTTGTACTTATCCAATAGCTAGACCTTTAGGGATTTGGATGATCTTTTGGGCGATTAAAAATACCAGAAATTTGGCTTTCAGGAAAATAAGAAACTCCTGCCCTCCTAGTTTACATTTTATTTTGTCAACACACATTTGAATGACCAATATGTAAGAACACATAATCAGAAGAGAACCTTCCATTTTCTTATATACGAGAAATACCTGTTGTGTATTTAAATTTATATCTTTATCATGTGTGTATATATTTAGATTTTTAATGATTAAGAAAATACATCAGGTGCCTCAGTAGGTATATTGGGTTCAAATTTTATTTCACCTGAAGTTAAATGAGTATTAACTTTCAGATAAAATAATTTTCTCCTCACTTCTCTTGAAATTTAAATAGTCTCTCTGTCTCCCCCTCTCTTGCCCTCCCCTCCACCCCTTTAACTCACATACACCCACATTGGATCTGTTACCTGTTCTGATGTAGAGTCCACAGAAGAAAAAAAAGATTCTAAGAATTAACTGCTTTTCACCATTTTCATTTCAAATGCATTTGAAATCCCCCCCATTTCAAACCTGGATAAATCTTTGGGAGAAAAGTTACTTATATAATTGTGTTTTATTAATTCATAGTATAAACTGTTAGTTTTTAAACTACCATAATTTCATAAAAATAAGCCAATGAATTCTTGGTTTCTTTAGGGCATTGAAAACATAAAAAATGAAATTGAAGATTCGAGTGAGCCTTTGATAGATCCTGTGTATGGACATGGCAGGTAATTAACTAAAATCTATTATTTCCTCGTATGGACTTTAGGTTTTAGAACTGATAATATGCACGTAAGATAAAACACTACTAAGTCAGATAATTTTGTTTGTCAGTACTGACAGCTTAGTCTCTGAGTATGAACAGTCTTATGCTTTATACATTGCTTTTAGGTATGAAGTATTAACTTTCACTTTAGATCTATGTATGCACTGGGTTTATTGTAGCAAATATTTTCTTTTAGCATGACAATGGCAATATTTTAACAAATTTTGCTTGATAGTACATTCATGGAATTTTCTAATAGATGAAATTTGCTGACTTTAACTTAGAAATAAGTATACCCATGTGTTTTTGTGAATGCTTTCCCGCTTTGAGGGAAATTTTTTTTTTCTTTATTTTTCTCTGAGAAAACCCTGCCTCTCAAGCTTTTTATAGCTATTTATGCTAAAATTGATGACACAATGACTGATTGTTAACTCACTCCAAAACATATTTCCTTTAGCTCTTTCTGCTCCAGAGGTTAAATTCACATGTCTTGCATCAAACACAAAATAATAAAAATTATATATGTATTTTAAAGTGATTATAAATAAATTAGCAGTCTAAGTATCATTCTTTAAATCTAAATATGATGTCTTGAATAAAGTTGTTAAATTTATATGATTATATAGAACAACAAATACCATTGTGGTGACACAGGAAGTGATACATTTAGCAAGGTTGTGTATAAAATAACTGTAAGGTTTTTCTATTTTTTAAACAACATGATTTAATGTAAAAAGTCATGATTTTATGCTTTATCACAAGAGTAATTTGTTTTGAAAATTAATATATTCATACTTTAATTACTTTTTAATCTTTATTAATAGCCAAAGTTTAATTAACCTCCTGCTGACAGGACACGCTGTTTCTAATGTATGGGATGGCGATAGAGAATGCTCAGGAATGAGTAAGTGTATTTATTCTTTATTGTGTTTATCTTGTTTATGATGAATATTCCACTAAAATACAGTTGATTGTTAATTCACCTGTTTAATGGTTCTGCGTTACTTCGAGATTAAAATAGATGCTTTAGTATAGAGGAATCCCTTACAGTTTTCACAGTACTATAATGTGAAGAGCATAGACTTTGGAGGCTGATAGACGGGTTCAAATCCCAAGTATATAACTTGAGTCAAGTTACTTAAGCCTTTAGCTTTCTCTAGTATAAAATTAGGATTATAGGACTAACTTGCTTAGAAAAAGTAATAGGTCTTTTTATATATGTAAAGTTAAAATGTATATATATATAAAGTTTGTACATATCCAGTGATATCTGTCTGTAAGTTGAGAACACTATTGAATTTTGCTTAAAATTGAAAAATTATAAGTTTCGTGATTTGAAGTATTTACTTTAAGAGTATAGTGGTTTTTTCCCTGTATTACTTTTAAGGTTTGTAATTTCCTTTAAAATGCTGGGTAAATTTAAGGTTATCTGAGAATTTTAAACCACTATCACCTTCATCTCTGGTCTCAATTATTTCTTTCGTATACCTTCATATGTTGCCAGGAACGTTGAAGTGAAGCACCTTTGGCCAATCCATCTAGTAAGGAGAGCTGATATACAGCTCTGAAAAAGATTCCCTGTAGCTTATTGTTACTTGGTCAGTCTGAATTCACTTATTTGTTCTTTCAACATAGATTGAATAACTACCACATATTCAGTCCTGCCTGTTAAAGGCATGTCAGACTCTCAGGTATGTAATAATTCAAGTGTGTAATATAGAACAGAAATCATCATGACTCCTGTAGTTCACAGGGAAATTTAATTTTTCTCCTAAAATTGAATAAAACTGTCAACAAATGACAGAAGCAAATATTATGATTGAGAAAATAATAGTTACTGCTTTCTGCTCCCATTTAAATGAATGAATCTTGATCTTAAATTTGACGTTTTCTCAAATTTTGGAAATACATGGAGTTAATAGAAACATGAAAGAATATAATATTAGGGGAAAAAATCAGTAAAAATGAATGAATTTCAAAATTGAAAAGCACCTTAACACCATCCAGCCTTTCACTTTACTATTTAAGAAATCTAAGAGGTACCCTTCCATCCTACATTAGCTAATGTTTACAAAATTATCTCAGTGATGAGGTGAAAATGAGAACCTAGTTGAGGTGATTTCTGGTAAAGGTCAAAGTTCAAACAGTAAAATTCACTGACAGAAAAAGTAATGAGGTGAACTTGCTCTGTATTTTTGTAATTGAGCCCATCCTGTTCTTGAGCCCTCATTCTGATTGAGAGCTGAAAGTATTCAACCCTGCCAGTCAAAAGCATGTCAGTTTTCCATAGGCTTTTCCTCATGCTATATATGGGTTGGCCAAAAAATTCATTTGGGTTTTTCCATTACATCTTATGAAAAACTTTTTGGCCAACCCCAATACTTAGAGGATATTGGTCAGCTATCCAGTTTAGGTTGTTGATACGTACTAATTCATCCTTTTCTGTTTCTTGAAATACTAGCTTTCAAAACTATTGTCTTGCAGTGTTTTTTTTTTAAAGTGTAGTTTAAATATAAAAACTAAGCAATGACTTTAAAATATTATCTTGGAAAAGAAAATAGGCACGGTATATTTCTTGCATGTTCCCTTAATTGTTATGAATGTTGACTTAGGGTTGAATCTGTTTTCATTCACCAAAATTAAAATGAAAATACATACATTCATCCAGCATTTATTGGATATTTTTCTGTCTGACAACATGGGGGGAGATTGTGATATATGTAATATACAAAGAAAAATTAAAGAATTACAGTTTTGCAAATCTTTAGGAAAGCTGCTTTACTTCTCTTGTCTTCAGTTTCCTTATTTATAATTCAGGGAGGTAATACCTTCCTTAAAGGAATGTTAGATTATGAAGATTAAGATTAAATTTCTAAAATGCCTCCGTCAGCCCATGGAAAGACTTGGCCTTCCCTCAAAAGAGGAAACCAAGAACATGCACACAGATAACTATAATGCAAGGCAAAATGAACACAAGTTGAAGTCAAGTATGATAGAAGTTCAAGGAGAGGAGGAAACCTTTCCTACTCTGTTTGCCTTGGGATGAGTGGGGAGCCATTAAGTAGGAGTGGCCATTTTAATGAGGGCAGATGAGAGAGAGGGAAAAATAACAAGTTTGTGTCTAGAGACAGGGAGACAGACCAGTCTGATTAGAGCAGTGTATCTTAATCCCGACTATGCGTTGTCACTTAGGGAATTTAACAGTAAGTCAGTGCTCAGGCCCCAGCTGAGAATGAATAAACAAATAGAATTTCTAGGTAGTGGGGCCTGGACATGGCAATTTAAAAATTACCTGTACATAATTAGAATGTACAGCCAGCTTTGAGGAGATAAAAGCATCGACTGTGAAGGAGACAGAAAAGATCATAAAGATAAGGTTGGGTAAGAAACCAGAAGATCTTGATACCGAGAAGTTTAAACCTTAGTTGTCAAGTGTTAGGCTCTAAGAGAGTCATTGAAGGTATTTAAGCAGAGCAGTAACATAAGACAAAATAAGAACTTGAACCTGTCAGCTTGTATGCATAGGAATGGGATGGGATGACAGGTCGCAAACTAAAACACGGAGTCAAGATGGGTGGGAAGTAACAAGATGAAGTAGGTGTGGCAAAGGAAGAGGAAGAGAGCCGCTAGGATTTATGGACTTTGTGCCAAGCAGTATGTTCTGGATGTGTACCTTCTCAATATCAATTCATAGTTAAGAAGACTGAGGCTTAGGTCATTTGTAACTCACCCCATGTCCAGCAGCAGGCGCACCCAGCTCCTGAGTACCATCCAGCCTGTCCTCGGTCCGCCGGACCCTGCCTCTGTGGAAGCGCCTCCAGGAAAGTAGAAGCTGGAGAATTCAGCTGTGAGTTAGATGGATGAGAGTAAAGTACAAATAACCAATAGGTTTTCAAATGAAGTTTATTGAGTGAATGAATATGTGCAAGAAACATCATAGGAAGTCCGCTTTAAGTCACTGTTTTGGTGGCAGAGAACAGTTCTTGTCCTCAGGTATTTCATTTTCTTTAAAAGGCAGCTAACAACTGTTGACAGTTATTAAGAATGCTGATCCTGTGTGCCACAGCTAAGACCTGGCACTGCCAAGTAAGTAAATAAATAAAAATAAATAATAACAACAAAAAGCCCATTATCCAGCAGTGACAAGCATCATCTTAGCAATGCCAGCCTCTGTTCTTAATATTTAATGACTGTCTTCTTTTCTCCCATTTTACTCACTTCTTTTCTTAAAACTACTCTATGAAGGTCATAGAATAAAGGAAACTAAGGCACCAAATTAAGTATCATATTTCATGCAGACAGAGCTGGAGTTTACACCACAGTCGTCTGGTTCCCTTACAACCAGCATACTTAATGATCATGATAGCCTATTAAACTACACTTAACAGTTTTCAGTGTGAAAATAAATATCTAAGACGATATAGAATAATTTCATTTTATTTAATTTCACAATAGCCCTAAGAGGTAGTTTTTTGCCTCATTTATAGAGAGAAGCAGAGATTGAGAATTTAATCCAAAGATTTTTTTTTTTTATTGTGATCCAGAGTTAAGTGGGTGAGCCATGCTGAATCCCTCAATCAAGGAGAATGAGGACTAAGAATAAGCTATGAATTTAGCAGTTAGCAAGGTCTTTCCCTTAAAAGAGCAACTGAGATATAATTCATTACATAGGGAGTAAATATTTCAGGAAGGCAGGCAAGGACATTTTGCTGGTGAAAGGGTGGAAAGAGAAGAGTTCATTGCCTGTTCATAAGACCAAAAGATGGTATACACCAGTTTTGTTTTAAGCGATAGAAGTCTCCTAAATTGTCTCTTAGGAGGGAAACTGCTTTTAATAAAAGAGATAGTAAATGGAGTTGATAGTAACAGTGATGTTGGAAAGATGCACAGTTCTTCTAAACCAAGAAGAAAGAATGCATTGAGAAAAGAAAAAGAAAAAGGCATTTTGAGGTATCAGATATTTAAATTGGGAGAACTTTTGAGAGTTTGAATTTGTCCATTGACAATGAATGTAAAGGAGAAAGAGTTTGCATCCACTGCTTTAAGAAGGGGTATAAAGATGAATTATGAAAGGAATGTTTAAATGTGCAGTCAGAATTAAGAGCTGAGATGAGGTTACATAGAATTATTTAAAGTGGATCCAACCAGTAAAGGTTACAGTTAGGCTTCTGTTCTTTTTCTTTTTTTTAACTAATAGATTTATTGAAATATAATTCACATAACTTACACATCTGCCATTTAAAATGTATAAGTCATTGGTTTTTAATATATTCTTGAGTTGTGCAACCATCACCATATCAGTTTCAGAACATCTGTATCATCTCCAAAAGAACCCTTAAACCCATAAGTAGTCACTTCCCCTCAGCCACCATTAATCTGCTTTCTATCTCTATTGATTGCCCTGTCCTGGGCATTTAATAGAATCATGTAATACCTAAACTTCTGTGCCAGTTTATTTCACTTAGTGTAGTATTTTCAAGGCTTATCCATATTTTAGCATGAGCCAGCACTTCACTCCATTTTACTGAAAAATATTTCATTGTATAGCTTATAGCACATTTTCTCATTTTCTTTTTTCATTCATCAGTTGGTGGACATTTGGTTTGTTTCCACTTAGCCATGATGAGTGATATGGTTAATAACATTTATGTACAAATGTTAATGAGAAGATGTTTTTATTTTTCCTTAGCATCTACCCAGGAGTGAAAATCCTGGGTCATATGATAACTGTGTGTTTATTTAACCTTTTGAGGAATACCTGTTAAATGTTGATAATGCCAAATTACCTTGAGAAATTTGCTTTGCCAGCTAGAGAAGTATAAATTTACACTTGCAGTGTGTAGTTCCTGTTTTTCTACATCCTGACCAGCACTCAGAACTTTCACTCTTTAATATTTTGTCAGT